GAGAGAGAGAAACAGACAGACAGACAGAGAGAGAGAGAGAGAGAGAGAGATCGGTTAATGGAAATTGTGAAACTTTAAATGAATTTTTTTTTTCTCTTTTTTCCCCCGTTTGTTTGTGCGTGCGCGTGTATTGCATGTGTATTGACGTTGCTGTTTTATGATATTTTCATCGGGGAAAAGGTGAAGCTTTGAATTAAAAAAAAAAAATTCGTTTGGTAAAAAGCTGTGGACGGTAAAGATCGTGGACATTTGAAGGTTCGAGGCAAATCTTGATTATTGTAATTATTTATATCATTTGTCGAAGCAATTGCAAATATTATTTCTTCACTTTATTATTTATATCATTTGTTGAAGCAATTTCAAATATTCTTTCTTCATTTTGCGTGCTCTTTTTCATAATACTATAGGTATTTTTGTTTAAGCGATCGATTAATGTTTCTTGTAAACGATTTATTATATAGAAAACGAAGGTTGAAAATAGAGTTAATACAGTTTTTGAATTTAAACACTTCGAATAATAAAAATCGATATACAAGCCTGGAGCTATTTAAAAAATTACAAAATTTTTGAAAATTGATTTTAAACTCCAATCTAAAATAATAAAAAAAAAGATTTATTTAAAAAAAAAAAACAATAGATATTGATCTTCAATTGGTAAAAATAAAAAAAAGAGAGGAAAATATTCGTTTAAGATTAGCTTTGAAAAAGAGTAACAAAAAATCATATTTCGAAACATTTTTTTCAAACTATAGCAAAAAAGACATCAAAGTCATTTTTAAAATGTTGCTCTCAAGCCACTTTTATATTTCGCTCTTTCAAAAAAAAAAAAAAAAAATACCAGAAACTCCTAAAATTAAGTTCAAACTACTTTTAAATTTCGCTCTCAAAGTTGTCGAAAAAAAAGTAATACGAAATCTAACTTTTAAAATTAACTTGGACCTGTTAAGATAAAAGGTAATAAAAACAAAATGTATTTAAATATTTTCTTATTAAAATCTCTTTTTGAAATACCTGTCTTTCCATTTATTTTTTTTTCCTGTTTGCAAAATACTTATTGGAAAACGAGAATGGAATAAGATAGAATCGAATAAGACTTCTCTTTCGAAAAAAAAAATTTTTTTCTTTCGAATTTATCACGAAAAAAAAAAGTGAAGGAAAAACTCGGAAAAATTGGAGGAACGATAGGATTCCTTTCACCCTGTGAGTCCAATAAACGTGGCACGTCATCAAGATGTGCTCAGGGGTGCATTTAAGTAGCAAGAATGTGATCTTGTTTCCCCTGTGGGGCGGAATATCGTGAATGAATTACCCTTTCTCGTGCATAATTAAGTCGTCACACTTACGATACTTTCCATAATTTTAATTCGATTAAAAACGTGATCAGGGGAAAAAGAAAAAGTTTATCTTTTAAAGAATAAAAAAAAAAAAAGAAAATGTTGCTTCCCCTTCGAAATTCGAATCGATCGATGTTATTTCCATGGAAATTATAACACTGATCCTGTTCCATTTCTCTTATTTTAAATTTTTTATTTCTAATAAAATATGAAATGAAAATAAAATTAAAGAAAATAAAAAATTTTAAAAAGAATTATCTCTTCGAAAAAAGTTTTCGAATTCGAATCTATCGATGTTATTTCCATGGAAATTATAACACTGATCCTGTTCCATTTCTCTTATTTTAAACTTTTTATTTCTAATAAAATACTGAAATGAAAATAAAATGAAGAATTATCTCTTCAAAAAAAAGTTTTCGAATTCGAATCGATCGATGTTATTTCCATAAAAATTATAATATTGATCCTGTTCGATTTTTAAACTCTTATTTTAATATTATATTAAACTTTATTTCTAATAAAATATATGAAACGAAAATAAAATGAAGATTTTAAAAAGAAATTATCTCTTCGAAAAAAAAGTGATCCTTTTTCGAATACGAATCGATCAATGTTATTTCCATAAGTATATTATAATATTCGATTTCTCTTATTTTAAACTTTATTTCTAATAAAAATACAATATGAAAATTTTAAGAAGCATTATCTCTTCAAAAAAAAAAAAAAAAAGAAAAAAGCGATCCCTTTTCGTCGATTGAATATTTCTCGATAATTAATTTACGAATCAAATAGATAAATAAAACAGGATAAATAAAGGATTAAGGTTTTATGAGCGTCGTTAAATAATTCAAGAAAGGAGGAGAAGCAACGTGGAAATATCCGAACTGTTCGAAATTCAAAGGAAAGACGGGTCGAAATTTATGAGACGAGAGTTACAACCCTTGTTAGATTTAACGCCGTCGCTTTTACAGCCCTTAAACGCACCCTATTTCGAGAAATATTTTCACCTGTATCTCCTTTATTGCACGCGTGCTGGCTTCGATTGCTTCGTCTTGATTCGTTTATCTTTCGAAGAATTTAGTGAAAATAATATTTTTAATGCATCGTCAATATCCAACAATTTTCATTACGTGAAAAATAATGGAAATGATATTGGACGTGTTATTCGAATTTACATGGCTCGTAAATATTAGACGATAGATGGCGATTCGGTCGACTGGCTCAAAAGTCATTATTACACTCTTAACGAACGTACACGAGAATTTTAAACAAATGCATAAAAATTCACATTTTTGAATTCTTTTCTCATTAAAATACTCAATTTTAAATACGTTCTCTCTTTATAAATATCCTGTAAATTTCATCGTTCATAGTATCTGGAAAACTGATTAAAAATTACAACTTTTAATGTTTCTTAATATTATAATTATCAAACGAACTTTTATATTTTTTTTTAAATATAGAAACTGACGTCATCGAGCCCTTTTCCCATTCGATTCACGTGGTTC